TTCCGCTCGTTTTAGTCAAAAACTCAGGACATCGCGTTGTGTTAAAAAACTTTTGCTGAAAGTAATGTGCTTGAGGAAACATTTGATGATTTCGTTCAAAAAAGTTTTTCCTCCTACAAATGATATTTCGTTTTGTTAGCAGCGTATTATCTATAGAAATTATTTGCAGAATGGCGATAGTTATTCGAAATTGATCGATGCCGAATGGATAAGCGATACTGGCGCACGTGTTTTAAGACTTTTGCCTGGTGGTCTTACTATTGTTGGTGAGTTTTTACATTTCCCACCCTCCCCCCTCTCCTCTGTCCTTTCCCCCGCTGCTCTTCGTCCGTCATAGTTCTATTCGATACATTTATTGGAATCATTCAAAAAACAGTTGGGAACTTTTCAGATTTGATCCTTGAGCTGTAAAATCTGGTTGAACTTTGACCAAAGATCAGAACTGGGATATAGCATTTCCTAAAAGGGAGGTATGATACCTCAAGTGACATTATGTTAAATCTGTTTTTTTTTTTTAATTGTTAGGCTTATTATGGTTGGCTGGTCCGAAGAATTCACTACAGTCAGCGGAAATACGTGCAATGCTAGTTCGAGCACTTGCACATATATTGGTCAATCACAATGCGCTCAGTTTGCTAAACATCAATTCCGCTGATAGTTTGAAGGTTTCTTCTCATTTCTGTACAGTTACAACAGCACTTTTGTGCAAATTAATCACAAAGAAGAAAAAAAAAGGTGTATCTTGCCTTGAAAGGCAGATGATACACAGTAGATGTGCTGTCAGGCTGAACCTGGTGCGCGAGGACCGGTGGCGTAGTGGTAACACATTGCGTATGGACGTGAAGAGGACTGGTTCGATCCCCTCCCGGTCCAGAACAATTTTTGAGAGGAAGGACTCCGTAGGTTTCGATGGCAGGTGTTGATCTTGTGTAAATTTATATTGTGATTTAGGTTCTGATCGAAATTCAACCACCATTGGGCAAGCCACAAGGATATGTTGTCGATTGCTCTCGAAAGGGATTTGTGGGCTCACAAACAAAAGTTTCTTTCAACCAGGTAACATTCTTTTCACCGATTTTTATGCGTTTTGTGCTGTGTAACAGCAGCACAAAACGCATATTGTCACGGGATTGTCTGTGCTTATGTGTGTGAGTGTCCACAGCAAATTGTTCGCAACTTTCAACTCGGGAACCACAAAAGCTAGGAAGCTGGAAATTTAGGGGAACGTTCTCCACCCGCGTATCACCTCGCAAATTTAAATTCAGTCCTCCCATACCTGCGGGTAGTATGTACGGCCCCGTGAAAGTTTGGTCGAGTAAAATTATTATCATGGGAACTACGGAAGCTAAAAGGCTGAAATTCTGGAGGCATGTTCTTCATTCATATGCTACTCAGAAAACTTAAATTCAGTTTTCCGCTGCCCGCGGGTAATAAGTACGGCCCCGTGAAAATTTTCGGCGGGTAAATTATTGTCTCGGGAACCACGAAGTTTAGGGAGCTGAAATTTTAGGGTTGTGTCCCCCTGCCCACGAACGATCTTGAAAATTCAAATTCAGCGTTCCCGCGCTCTCGGGTATCACCTACGGCCCGTGAAAATTTTTGCGGGTAAATTATTATTTCGGCAATCATGAAGTCTACAAAGCTGAAATTTTGGGTTAATGACCCCTTGCCCACGAACGATATTTTGCGAACAGTTATTGGTTTTTAAAAGTGCTGAGGCATATTGCATTTCAGCTAGAATGGGTACGCCTCGAATCATCTGCAAATCTTCGGATATTGAAGCCACTGGCGGATGGTGTCTGGGATTTCCACAAACAATTTACGAATGCCATACGTGAATGGGCAGACTGTGTAATGTTTTATGCCATCTTTTTGCTAATCCGATTGTAGCGTCCAGGTTGATCTTGGGTGTCAAAGTGAGGAAGGTATATAAGATAGAAAACAGGAGAAAATGGAAGGAAAAACGAATGAGATAAGACGTTTCGGTCCATTAAGTCATATAAGTCTTAGTTCAACACAACGACTGAACCTCGTCAGTATGACGGTGGTAGTGCTCAGAGAAGACAAAGAAAAGGAAGGAGTGTAACGGAGGAAGTAAGAAAAAAAGAGGAAGGAGAAGATGGGGAGCAGAATTTCTTAATTATAAATTTAGAGTAGTTGGAAACGATAAAAAGGTTGTAAATCTCTTTGTAATGCAATATTTTCTTGCTGCCTGAAAAAAAAAAGATTTATTTTAGCTTCTGGCAACAGATGCGGTTCTGGTGGATGGATGCTTGCGATCGCGTGATGAACCATTGAAACCACGCGATAAAAAAGCTAGCAACAAAAATACATTTCACATTGAAACATTCCTGGATGTGACTGGTTAGTAATATTTCTGAAAAAGAGCATATTCCCCTTCAAAACTGAAGAATTCTTGGGTTCTGCTGTTCTTGACTGGAACTCCTCGAAACTTTGAAAAATGCGTGGGATTGGATTTTAATTCATATTAGGCGCTGACATTTTCCTCGTCGGCTCTGGTTTTATACTTCCCGCATTTCGAGTTTTTACTCGAGTTACTGTTTGGCCCAACTTTTGCTAACATGCTTAACACAGCTACTTTACAATATAGATACGGCGACCTTATATAGGCCGCATACGCGCCAGTACACGACCCACCTAGGAGGAAGTCATGATGCAACAGAATAACTGCAAAAGCCAATTTCATGAACACAGAGGGAAAACAGTTTTCAGCTAGGAGGTTGACATTCTGGTCAAAAAGAGGATTTAAGTCAAAAGTTGAAATTTTACTTGTGAAGTGAGGGCGTAAAATAAAAGGAGCGGAGATGGTCTCAATTCTTTTAGCTAGAAGCATCTGTGCCGTTAGCAACAAAAGCTGCGAGAAACTGTGCAAAAAACGCATCTTCTCACCGGCAATCGGTGCGATATTTGTTAAAATTTGCCAAAAAAGAGGAAGTTAAAAATCTACTTTTTCGTTATAAGGTGAGGGCATAAAATAAGGCTCGAAGATGGTCTCAATTCTTTTAGCTAGAAGCATCTCTGCCATTAGCGACAAAACCTGCGAGTAACTGTGCAGAAAACGCATCTTCTCACCGGCAATCGGTGCGATATTTTTTTAAAAATTGCCAAATATTCATAGTTTTGTGTGCAGGCAACAAAGAAGAATCGACGAGTAGCCGTATTTCTTCATTCTGTACGATCGATTTAATTGCCGATCCAATTGTAAAAGCTGCCGTCCCAAGTAAAGCTACTGTTGGCCAAGCAGTGGATGCTGTTAAGGAGCATATCATTCGAACATTGTGCAGTAGAGCTGGTTTGTTCCGAATTTTTTCCATTTTGGATTAGCAAAGGAATGCTACCACTGATTGGTTTTTTTTTTTTTTTTTGAAATTAAGCCACAGATAGGCAATCGG